TGTCTTAACATAGGCATTTGATTATTGCGTTGAACAGGAAGTCTAGAGGCCAGCGTCTCCAGGGCTGGTTCTTCAGTGGCTCTGGTTCAGGGTCCTGGTTTTCCTGCTTCAGGATACTGCTACCCCGCACCCATCACCTTCCCATACGATGGCAGGGAGGGAAGCAATTTCCGGCAGCTCCCTACAGGTGTCTGGGCTCACACCAGAGGGCCAGGGGCAGGGCCTGCTGGAGAGCAAGGAGCCAGGCGCGTCCACATTCTTCCTCTGTTGAGTGTGCGCAGCCGAGGTGCCCTCTCAAGCAGGGTTTTGCCCTGAGTAGAGGTGGGAAGGAGGCAGAGGGAGGATTCAGGCTGCGTCCTGAATTGGGGGTGGAGGAGCTGACACCCACTGAGCGCCTGCATTGTGCCAGGCCCTGCACTGAATAATCCATTCTCTCACCATTTAACTGACCCCTGTGAGGAAGGACTGGTTCTTCCCATTTTACAGATGAGGAAACTGAGACAGAGTCCTGATCACAATATTGGGAGAAGCTGAACCAGAATAAGCACCATTAGTAGCTAATTTCTATGAATGCTGGCTGTGTCAAACACTGGGATGGAGGTGTCTCCTGGATTAGGTCACTGCTCTTATCCTGAAGCCATGAGATTGTTGTCTTAGTTTCTTTTCTTAGCTGCTGAAACAAAATACCCAACACCCAAAGTTAAAGGGGAAAGGGTTTACTTAGCTCCCGGTTTGTAGAGGTTTCTATCAGGGACCTGGCTAAGATCTCCAACCACCTGCGGGTGGACAATGACAAAAGGGTGAAATAAGAGACAGAGACAAAGTTAGCAATGCATGACAGGTGGAGGGGAGGTCAGTGCCTCGGGTGGGCGGAGAGAAAGGCACTGGGAGGGAGCAGCTGTTCAGTGGGAGCATACAGTGGTCCAAGGGATTATCAGGACTCAGCCGGGCATAGTGAGTTCACCCTGATGAGAATCTCTATGCTGATGAGGAAGAGGAACGAGACAGGTACAAAGTTTGTCCTTTTCCCAGGGTGAAACTATGTTTATCACTACTGGGGTCTCAAGGGCATCCTTGGCAGATGTGATCTCACCCTGGGGCATCACAACATCTCGACACCCCACTGTGACCCAAGGCACCCGGAAACTGTGTTCCCACATTCCACAGCCCGCCCGTCTCACAAGCTCCAGGACTCACCAAAGCCCCAATCACTGTTTAATTCTGAAATGATTTTTCCCAACAATTATATACATGGTCCTCGACAGGTTCAGTCCGTCATCAGCTGGCTCCAAGGTAGGGTGGCCTGGCAGACAGGGGTCGCAGCAAGCAGTTCATGGATGGCGGAAGTTAGCAAAGGCAAGCAAGAGATGACCACAGCTTTTCTGTCCCTTCTGTCTCATCCAGGTGACTCAGGGCAGGTGGCAGTCTCAGCCCTAACCCTAGTGCCCTGGATGCTAGCGTTGCACTGGGAATCAATCCTACACTCTACACCCGACCACCCGTGGAGGAAGGAGCCCACCCATGCCCGCACGAGGCTTTGGGCAGACATCTAGACACAAGCATGATAGCTGTCTTCCTGCTTCCACTGAGATGGACCTGCCGCCTTCACCGCTGGAGTGGACCACCCCAGGCCACAGAGCTGGGTCTGTGCTGAGCAGGCTGGGAACCCAGTACCAGAACACAGCCTGAGCGGCTCAGATTTGGAGAGAGCCACCCAGGGCCATCAGGCAGTCTTCTGGGGACTGCTGGCACCATGGGCAGACAAGAGGTTCATTTTCTTACTTGCTATTCTGAATCCTGGAGGCAACATGAACAGGGTACATGAGGTTCGTCCAGCCGCATCTACTGCTGAGATTAAGTGGGCAGTTTATAAGCTGAATCTCTAAAATGTGAAGTACAGAAGCTAAGCGTCATGGTTAGCTGGTTGTGTCAACGAGAAGTTTAGAGGCTTATCTAAATCAACCCAGCTGGGGATTTAGCTAAGCGGCATAAGCGCGCCTGCCTTGCAAGTATGTGGTCGTGAGTTTGATCCCCGGCACTGATAAAAAAGAAAAAAACAAAAAAACAAACTGAATTAACCCAGCAATCCCACACCCTACGGGGTAGAAGACCATGCAGCTGGTCGCCTGGATGGCCCAGACATGAGAGAGGGCAGATCTGCTTCTGTTTTTTGGAGGAGTTCAGTCTTCACCTGCAGCCTGGACAACATCTCCTGGCTTCTAATTCAGATTCTTTGCGTTCCTGGGGTTCCGCCAAGGATCCTTCAGCTTTCTACATCCTTTGGCCTCCTGATAAGGACTTGCATGGATCCTGCAGGGCGCTCCAGACCCGGGACTGAATTGTTCGTCTCCAGCATGCACACTTCCTCTTGTGACGCTGTGGGTGATCCCTGAAAGCCGACCTTGTCATTTCTTATATATTTGCATAACTTTCTAGTATAACACTGACTGGTACACTGTTAGAAATTAATATACAGTCAGAGAGGACCTGGGCCCTCGTGGAAGTCAGCACAAAAAAATGAAGACATTGAGGCTGGAGGCCCAAGATGGAGACCAACGGCCGGACAGGACACCTCCCTAAGGGACAAGCAGCATCTTGAGGTTAGAATGCATGAGCATTCAGGTCCAGATCAGCATCATCAGCCAGAACCTCTGGACCCATCTGGACCCAGCCCGCATGGACCATAAAAGCCTTTGTTTTCTCCATGTACCCCCGCTTCGTGACTTCTGTCCCTCTTGGGTTGACACCAGCTAAGTGGCTCTATGGTGATCCTACAGGTTGCACTCACGCTGTATCAATTACTCAGGACAAAGAGTCTTGGTGACCACACACTTGACCCCCCCTCCCCAAATCCAGGAGCAATTTCTTCTCCTCATTTCCAGTAAAACTTGCCTGCTCCCTCCTTCGGTATGGGACTTCATCCTCCACGTTGAGAGACAATGAACTCAGCACCTTTGACAGCTTACTTGACAAGCTCTACTTGTCCTAAGTCACTGACACACAGGACTAAGTGGACAATTTTATAAACTGAATCACTGATGGTTGGAGGAAGCGTGAGGTACTGAGGTTACATCACCCTCAGCAAACAGGAAAAGCCAGGAGCCCCGGTGTACTCCCCCCAGGGAGGCACGTCTGAGCAGAGGGGTGCTTCTGGGGAGGGCAGAGGTCCTGGGTGCAGTGGACCAAGTCAGGGAGGGAAAGGGACTGGCAGGTCGAGCTGGTCAGCTGTGCTCTGTGCAAGTCTTGGGACTGGTTCTGACGAGGTTCTGGTGGGAGACTTTGGACTTCTTGGGGGGGACTGGACTCTAGGGAGACCAGAACAGAGACCAGGATGCCAGAGACCAGGGTACCTCACAAGATGACGGGAGTCTGTCAGACAGAGCAGGGCGAACTGCAGGACAGCGAGTACAATGCCACACTTCCCGGGTCCCAGGTCCCATTTGGTCCATCGTTTCATAAAACGTAGCCTGTGCCAAGGGCTCCACAGTCTGCAGTTCCCAGCTATTAACAAGCTGGCCAGCTCCTGACGCCAGCGGTGGGTGGGAAGCACGCTCTGAGCCATGTGTTTGGAAGGAGCTGGACCCAGGGAGGTTAAACTGATACAGAGGAAGGAAATTCCTGACCTACCATATGTCTGGAATGAGTTTATGCTTTAAAATCAAATGAATTTTAGGAACAACGGAGGTTAAGAGCAGAATGTATGTATTGAGAGAAAGATTGCTGCTCTCTGAGGCAGAGACAGAAGGGGTCCCGAGTGGGTTGCCAGGGACTCTGTCTTTTCTAGGGGGTTTATAGAGGTGAGGTGGGTCTAAAGTGGGGAAAGCTGGGAACTCGCCAGGTGTTAGCCGGGGGCACAGGTGGGGCAGAGCTGTGGTCAACCAACAAGTTTAATTGTTCAGGTAAAATTGACCAAATCAGGGACAAATGGGAAAGAGAGTCACGTAGCAAGCCAGCATTCTATGGATCCATGACTTTCTGTAGGGGTTTGGAGGGGTGACTCCCAGCTTCTCAAGGTGACCCACAATTAATCCCTAAGGATTATATTTAAGGGTGTGGTTGCATTTGTTTTGCCTTCTGTCCTGAGATCTGGCCCCCAGCAAGAGGTGTGTGTCCCTTCCAAGGTCACCAGACACCTGGTCCTCTATGCTGGCTTCTTCGGGATCCTTCTGGCCGCCTGTGATATTTCTAGCTGCCCAGGTGTAAATGGGGTGGGGTAGTGGGCCCAGCGCAGGCTCCATCTCCCAGGAGTCCCTCTGGGTGGTGTTTCTCCATCTCCCAGGAGTCCCTCTGGGTGGTGTTTCGGGACAGCAGTGCTGCCCACCCAGTGACAGCCCGGGGGCTCAGCCTGGCTTGCAGGAGGGGACTGGACGTCTCCAGGGCCGGGGCAGGGCGGGGTCGTTGCATTGGTGCGATGGGAAGGGGCGGGAAGCAGCTCCACCTTGCCCTGGTCTCCCATCTGCACCCCCTCCCCCTGCACCCTCCTTGCACCCCCTGCACCCCCTACACCCCCTCCCCTGCATCCCCTGAACCCCTGCACCCCCCTCCCCCTGCAGCCCTCTGCATCCCCCGCCCCTCCCCAGCCCAGCACTGCCCTTCCCCCTGCACCCCCCTCCCCCTGCATCCCCTGCACCCCTCCTGCACCCCCCCCTGCACCCCCTGCACCCCCGCCCCTCCCCAGTCCAGTGCTGCCCCTCCCCCTGCACCCGCCTCTCCCTGCATCCCCTGCACCCCCTGCACCCCCCGCCCCTCCCCAGCCCAGCGCTGCCCTTCCCCCTGCACCCCCCTCCCCCTGCATCCCCTGCACCCCTCCTGCACCCCCCTCCCCTGCACCCCCTGCACCCCCGCCCCTCCCCAGTCCAGTGCTGCCCCTCCCCCTGCACCCGCCTCCCCCTGCATCCCCTGCACCCCCTGCACCCCCCCCTCCCCCAGCCCAGCGCTGCCCCTCCCCCGGCAGCCCCCGCCTCCCTCTCCGTCTCCCCACCCTCATCCCGCCGCGCTCCCCGCCCAGCCCGCATTCTCCTCCGGCCGCAGCGGGTGCAGCGCGCTGCCCTCGCGCGGGACCGGCCGCCTCCATGTCCTGGGCCGCGCTCCTCGGCCTCCTGGCCGCGCTGCTGTTGCTGCTGCTGCTGCTGAGCCGCCGGCGCGCACGGTGAGCGTCCCTTCCGTCCGTCCGTCCGTCAGTCCGTCCGTCCCTGCCGGCCCGGAGCCGGTGCGCGGAGCGGGCTCAGGTGCGCGGGCCCCCCGCGGGCTCAGCGCCGGGTCCCCGGGCGGGGGTGCGGCAGCCCGCCCGATGGCACCGCCCGCGTCCCGGTGCCCACAGCCGAGCCCGCGGCGAGGTCCGGGGCTGCGGCTGGAGAGTGGAGGCCCGGGCGCAGCACCCCGAGCCTCCTCCCGCGGGACCCCGGGCGCTAGCGGGGAAACTGAGGCCCCCAAGGCGTCCCCAGCCCTGACCGCGGGGACGCGGCAGAACCGGGCCTGCTTGTCCCAGCCTCGCGGGCCCCCAAACTTTGGGACTCTAAAACGCAGCCAAATCATGGTGCTTGCGGTAGGCTTCCTTCCTGTTAGAAAGGAGTTTTAAAATGAACCTGAATTGCCCGAGGATAGCAGAATCTATTTCCCAGCCACTTATCCTGTTCTGGGGAAGACCGAAGCCCCTCACCCGGTCCCAGGCCTCGCTCTGCTCGGTCTGGGCGGAACCTCACATTTCTTTTTCCCTGCATGTTTTCTGGGAGACCAATTTGAGATTTACAGAAAAGGTGCAGAGACAGTAAAAGAGTCCGGAGCTCTCCGGCTGGCTCTGCGTCTCTCTCTGGTCGTTAAGCTCCTGCATTACAAACATGGTACATTTGTCAAAACTGAGAAGCCCACGCTGGTCGGGCCATTACAGTTAACTAAACTTCAACCGCTACAGGAGTGTTTAATCAGCTGCCCGGCTCCGGTCCCAGTGCAGCGGCTTGCCTTTAGTTCTCCTGCGCTTCCCCAGATGTTTTAATGTTACTCCTAAATGCATAGAATTTGTCAGTGCAGTGTGTGTGTGTTTACCTCAGTGTCTGAAAATCCCAGAAACACTGGGGAATTTTCATTTTTAAACAATGTTAGTTGATTTTTCAAACAATAAGTTCTCTGTAATTTTCTTCATTCTTCAGACACTTGCAGGCTGAAATTTAAAACTATGTATTCAAATATTCACCTAAAAAAAAAAAAAAAGGAAAGAATAGAGTAAGTTTCCCTGCAGAGTCACGAGTTATTTTTCTCAGCTTGTCAAGTTTTCCAGCGCTCTGTAGGCTTGCTCTCAGAATGTGCTTTGGTTTTTTTCTTTCCGTCCAGATTTCAGATTTGACATTGGTTTGTGCTGCTGCGTGGGGATCTGCTGGTTTTTTGAGCTTCTGTAGTCCGTCGTTTGACGGAATGAGGTTTCATACACACACCCCAGTTAACTCATGTCTCTGCTGATGGCCTTTGTGACCCCTTCTGGGGCTTTCAGTCTTTCAGACACGTGCTGTAGTCTCCGGCCCGTGGGCTGCACTTTTTCTGAGATAGATGAGGCAGCTGGATGGGTCAGGAATCTGAGTGTCTGGCCTTCTTTTCTTTCTTTCTTTCGACAGGGTCTCACTATGTAGTTCAGGCTGGCCTTGCACTCACTTTGTAGCTCAGGCTGGTCTCGAACTCGAGATGATCCTCCTGCCTCAGCCTCCCAAGTGCTAGCATTAGAGGTGTGGGCCACCATGCCTGGCTGTGCCTAGCATCCTTGACATGTGGAAGTTAGGATTCTGTTTTCTGGGCCCGCTGAAGCTGATGAGTCCATGTACGTACTAGAAATTCTTTTTGTTTTCTGGGCCTCAGTGTGTCCGTCTGCATCTTGAAGTTGCTCGCAGAGGTGTCCTCTCAGTCCCTAGCCCCTTTACCAAGCCGAGGACAGCTCCCTCTTTGGGCTTGCTTGGCCGCTGCAGGAGGCATGGACAGAGGTCCCTTGGGTGGGGCACCAGAGGCCACATGGCATTGGGAAAGGATTCCTGTGGCTTGTGGCTGGTTGGGCCCCCATAGGATGCATAATTTCTAGGATATAAATAAATCCGCTTTACTTTAGTGGCCAATACCCGAGCAGAGGTCAGTAAACAGTGGGCCACAGCCTGGTCAAACCACTGGTTTTTCTGTGTAGTATGAGGAGAGAAAATTGGGGGATTCTGTATACAAAAACTCAGGTCTGCAGCTGTAGCCGCGCTTCCCAGGGACGCGCTAGCAGTGTCCTCTAAACCTCCCCTCTGTCCCCACTGCTCGCTGTCGCCCCTCTGTGGTGCACCTGTTCTGCTTCCTGTGCTGTTCTTCTGCTGACTGTGATCCGAATCTGTCTATCTCAAAAGTAGAAAATAAAAAACCAGAGCGAGAAGGCTGTGTGCTGTTCCTCCACGTCTGGAGGCGGGGTCGGTGTGGAAGAGGTTAAAGGAGCTGCCTGTTTCGGGTAGGAGAAGCCCCTGGCGGGCTGTGGGGCAGCCCCGGGGAAGGAGAGGCAGAGCAGGTTACTCAAAAGTGGAGGTAGCTCCAGCCCAGCAGAGCAGAAACCGGCCCTCCTGGCTGCAATCAAATCCTCCCGGAGCCTGAGACCCCGTGTGCCAGGCACCGTCCTAGGCACTGTCTGCTCTTCTGGAATGTCCCTCCAGGGAGAATGCCATGGCTCAGGGGCCCAGAGCTGCGTGACAGCCCTGCCCTGGCATGCAGGGGTCTGGAGGGACAGAGACTCAGGCAGGAGGCCAGGGGGTCTTCGAGTGACCAAGGACATTTCTAGGTTCCTGCTGGGAATCGGAACTCCGGGGAGAATCAGAAGGGGCGTCCTGCCTCTGAGCTGCGTTGAATGGGCCACGGTCGCCGTGTGAGTCAGGACTCTCTCTGCTCCCACTCGGGGCTTGGCTGTGCCCCAGAAGTGAGAGTGTCAGCGGGCAAGGCTGGAGACCACAGGCGCTAAAATAGAGCTCCTTTGCCTCAGCTGGCCGCAGGCTGAGTCATGCTGGAATGTGGCTGGACCTGGGGAGGCTGGGGCCCAGGACCAGGGGAGGCGGCCAGCCATGGTGGGGCTGGACCAGGAGCCTTGACTCCCGCTTCCTGCCTTTGTCTGTGCCACCTTGGGCTTTTCTGGGGAAAGAGGCCAGCTGACAGGAATAATACTTGGCTTGGTGGGCAGTGCGGGCCACCCAAAGAAAGGGCAGGCCAGGAAGCCTGTCACCCCAGATGTCTCAGGGGAAGACCTCAGCCCACGTGTAGATAGGTCACTGAACTCTGTCTTGCTTTGCCTAGCAGTGTGCTGGGGTGGCCTGGGGCCCCGAGGTGTCCAGAGCTTGGGCTCTGCAGCCTGCCCTAGATAGCAGCCTGGGATGGAAACCCAGCTCCTCCACAGTGGGTCCCGGGCAAGGGACTCAGCCACTCTGCCTGTTTCCTCCTCTGTAAAATGGGCCTGAAGCTCTGGGTTCGGGGAGGAGGCACAGTGTTAGTAGGGAAACTGCCTAGGGTGGTGCTTCCCGTGGTCAGGGCTTTGTGACTTGGTCATTGTTTTTTTTTTGTTTTTCCTTTGCGCCAGGAGTGGAACTCAGGACCTTGTGCTTGCCAAGCAGGCACTTAGACCTCTGAGCTACATCCCTGGTTGAGTTGGTCATTCTTACCAAGCAGGGAGACAGGTGGAAAATGCCAAACCTAGAGCCTGAGGTGTAGTCAGTTCTCAATCTATGTACCTGGGAGGCTTCTTGCAGGAAATTTTTTTTGTACCTGAAGTTGAACTCAGGACTTTGTGCTTGCCAGGCAGGCACTGTGCTACTGAGCTAAGTCCTCGGCCCCTGGGAGTCTTCTTGATCCTGTGTCCTAGCTGCATCCAGGCTACAAGTGCCAGGTACTCTCCTAGGGGCTCTGTGACTCCCTTCATCCCTTTCACAGCCTGACAAGGTCAGTGATTAAGTGACAAGGTCAGTGTTAATCCCATTTTACAGACCAGGCACCTGAGGCCCAGAGAGGCTGTCACAGAGCCAGAAAAAGCTTGGCTGGGATTTGAAGCCAAGAAGTGCATGGCTAAAGTTTGGGCTCAAAGCCACCAGGCCCTCCTGACTTTTATGCACAACTCCCCACCGTTCAGGTCCTGTCTCCTGGGCTCCTGTCCCCGCATCTTCCCTGGTCAGAGGGTCAGCCCCATCTTCCCCCGACGCTAGACCTCACGGCTGGCTGTCGTCTCCTGTCTCCCCCCGTCCCACCCTTCGGGTTATGCTCAGGGACAGGTGTGGAGGGGAAGCGGTGGAGCAGAGGGGTGCTCCCCTGAACTGCTTGTGTGGACGGACTCCTGCCCTGGAAGTGAGGGGCCCGGGCACCAGGCCTGCCCTTTGGGGTGACCACAGGGGTCTCCTGGTGTCTCCCTGCCTCCTCTTGGCTCTCTCTGATGCTGCCCACAGCCGTGTTGACAGAGATGAAAAAACTTCACTCCCGGCCTGCGAGAAGTCAGATTCACCGAGTTTGAGTTCACCAAAATCAAAGAATGTATTCTAAGGAATTCAGAGGTTAAAAGTGGGAAAAATTTAGTGAGAGAGAGAGAGCTCCTGGGAGTCGGGGCAGGCAGGGGGGACCCGACAGTGGTCGTGACAGAGTCCACTTCTCAGGAGACGTTTTATAGAGCAAACAGGAGGTGCATACAAAGTCACAAGGTGAGTACGACATGGGACAAAACTGCTCAATAAGATTGCAAATATAGCTGCTTAGGTAGCCTTGACCCGACGGGAAGCAGGTCACATAGCAGACCTATGTGGAAAGACCAAGGGGCTTTTTGGGAAGAGAGTCAGGAGGTCCTGTCACCCACTTGGGTGACTGAGGAACTACCTACACTTGATTGGATCGGGAGGAACCAGTTATGGTATGATCTTCCATTTATTTCTTCCCCCCCCCTGGGGAGGCAGGTGGGCCTGCTCACCCCGTCTTTATCTTGAGGCCTGGCCCCCAGCCACAGTCCTGATTCTTCCCATCTTCTGCACTGACTCCCTGAGGGCCTGGCCCTGTCTGCCTACAAAATTTCTACCCAAAGTAGCTGTCTACAACAACATCCTGATACCCGTTCCACACCTTCCACTTGGTCTCCTCACACTTGGCCGAGAAGCCACACTTCACCTTGACATTCAGACCCTCAAGGTCATCTCCAGAACACTCAGCTGGATATTCTCCACTCCAGCCACATTACTGCTATGTCTTGCTCACCCTATCCGATTTGCTCCACCACAGGGCCTTTGCACCAGAGGTGCCTTCCACCTGTGGCACTCTTCCCTGATCTCCCAGCGTCCCTCATGTCCTTCCGGTCTTTGCCCATGTGGACCCTCCTTGGGGACCCTCCATTGTCCACCTACTGTGACCTGTCTCCCACTGTTCTAATCACACTTCTTCCCTATTTGTTCTAGAGTGAAATGTAATTCACACACCATAAAATTCACCCCTGTAAAGTGCACAGTTCAGGGGTTCTTAGTATGTTCACAGGATCGAGCAGTGACCACCACTATGAAGTTCTGGAATATTTTCATCACGCCCCAAGGAAAACTTGTATCCATTTGCAGTCATTCCCAGCTCCCCTGGCAACCACTGATGGCCTCGTCCCTGTGGGTTTCACCCACGTGGCTATTTCTCTTCAGTGGGATCTTGTGTTGTGGTCTCCTGTCTGGCTCCATGCACACAGCCTAGAGGTTTTGAGGTTCGCCTGTGCTGTAGCACGAACCAGAACTCGGTTCCCTTTTTTGACTGCGTACTGTTCCAGGGCATGGATGTACCACACTTGGTTCCTCTGTCCGTCAGTCAGTGGGCATTTGGATGGTTTCCCTTGGTGACGACGCCGCTATCAGGGGTGGAGTGCCAGCCCTTGCATCACCCTGAGCCTGCCTCACCCTGAGTCGGTCTGTGTTTAACTTAGTGAGGAAACCGGCTGGTGACTAAGGCGGCCCCACCCTTCCCCACTCAGCCAAGGTCCCAGCTTCTCCACGTCCTGGCTCACATCTCTTTTCCTTTTAAGTGTTTCATTGGCGGCCACGCTCATGGGCATAAAGTGGCACCTCGGCCTGCTTTGGATTCCTCTTTCGGCAGTGATGCAGGGCAGTGAGCATCTGTCTGTCTGCTCCGGGCACTTTGTGTACCCGCCCTCCGCCCTTCACTCATGCTCGGGCCCCGCTCAGCTGCTCCTCAGCCCCTCGGGGGCACCGGGCACCTGGGCTTCCTACACCCCCGCTCCATTGGGTTTCTTTTCTTTTCCTCTTTTCCCTTCCATCTTTTCTGTGCCTCCTTTCTTTCATTTCCTGTATTGCGCTGTTTTCCTTGTTACTTTTTTTCTTGAAACTGTTTTCTAACACTGTCAGTTGCCAGCCGTTCTAAGGCTGAGACAGGGTGCTAACCTGCTTTTAGAGACTTCAGGGATCCAGTCCTACAACACTGTGAGCCTCAGAGCCTCGTTCTGTGATTTTGTTTCTGTTTTTTTCTTGTTTGTTTTCAGAGACAAGGTCTCGTTATGTAGTTCAGACTGGCCTGGAACTCTTCTTTGTAGCCCAGGCTGGCCTTGAATTTACAGAATCCTCCTGCCTCAGCCTCCCCACTGCTGGGATTACAGGTGTGAGCTACCACATGTGGCTCATTCTTCGATTTTGACGGGGACTCTTTAGCTCATGGTGGTCTTTCCTTCACAGGGTGACAAGGACAAGATTATGACGTAGGGCAGGGCCCGGTCAGGGCGCTGAGTCTGAGTGTAGCGGTTATTTACTGCTGTGGAACAAATTGCCACAAATTTAGCAGCTTGGGCAGCAGCTGGTCAGTCACTCACAGCTGTGACCAGAAGTCAGTGAGGCCGCTGGGCGAGGGGCCACAGCTCGAGAGGCTGAGATCGATGTGGTACCAGCTGGGAAGCTCACGGCGAGACCCAGCTTGCAGGTGGGAGACCAAGGCCCCCATCTCCCTGCCCGCAGTCCGCTGAGGTCCCCTCACAGCTCCCGGGGGCCCACAGCCCTTCTGTCCTCCAAGCCCACAAGAAAGCTTCCCTGCCATGGACTCTGCTGTGAAGCGAGCGGTCCACCTGGCCTCGGCCGCGGTGCTCCTAACTCCTCTCTGTTTCTTATTCTCTGGCTCTCCTCTCTCTACTTTTGCTAGTGTGACAAGTACAAATCTCTAGATGTAGCAGCGAGTTGCCTGGATGCTACAATTCAACGCTGCTCTATTGCTGACGGAGGTAAAGCTCTTCCGTGCAGTAGGGATCTGCTGCGGGTCAGTATTATTCAACGTTCACCCTGTAACTCTAGATCTCTTTCCTGTGCTTAAGGGTGGTGATTATTGTCCTTAGAGTTTGTCAATATTCGGTTTGTCTTTGATGCTGTTATTGTTGCTGATTTTGTTGCTGTAGCCAGGTGACAGGGCTGTTGCTGTCAGCCGGTTTTCTCTGGACGCCAGTCTCTGGCCCGCTTTGGGTTCCGTGCCTGAGACCTGGGGACCGAGCCACACACACTGCAGCTTCCCTGGCCAGGTCACTGGGGGTGGTTCGCTCCTGGGACACGGGCAGAGACAGCAGCCAGCCACACACACAGGGCACTGAAAAGTGGACACGGACTAAAGGGGTCTCAATCCTAGTGATGAAGCTTGCTGTGACCCACGAACCTGAGCACGACAAACAGAAATGTGGGGTGACAAGGAAACTAAACGCCTCCCAGAAGTCCCAGCACCCCCAAAGCTGATCCGTGGGGTGTGGGAAGGGAGAAAACCCAGAGCTACACACAATTAATTGAAAGGTAATAGAATGGGTCGGGGAGGCATTTGGAAGACATAAATTACCAGATAATAGGCCAAATGAAACAAGCCAGCCAGTCTATTAAAAAACCAGCAGAGCTAAACAAAATGATGCAAAACATGAAAACGAGTATAGAAAACAATTAGAAGCTGAAAGAAGGTTCTAAATAGAAACCCATGGGACCCCGTAGTATGGCCAGATGTTAACTGCTCCCCTGGTGCCTGCTCTGACCCTGTACAGTCCATTCTCTACCCAGCAGCCGGAACAATCCTGTGAACACCTTGTGTCCCTTCACTGCTTAAAACTCTCCCCTGGCTCTGCATCACTCAGAGGAAAGGTCAAAGTCCTCACAGCTGCCCCCCATCACCCCTCTGGCCCCAGTGCCTCTGGAATCTCATCTCTGTCTTTAGTCCAGCCACACTGACCTCCCTACTGAATACACAACTCAACCCCAGGGCCTTTGCACTTACCAGAAAGCCCTTCTCCTGGATGCCCATGTGCCTCCCCACCACCACTCCAGCCTCTGCCCCGTGCCTCCTCAGTGGAGTCTGCCCTCACCTACCCAGTGACCTCCCGTTGGCAGCACTCTGGCTCCTTTCTTGCTTTGTCAAGCAGTGCTAAGTGCTGTGCCTTCCACAGGCGACCTGGTGAACCTCCGCTGGACCTGGGCAACATCCCATGGCTGGGCCACGCCCTGGAGTTTGGAAGAGATTCGGCCAGCTTCCTCACTAGGATGAAGGAGAAGCACGGTGACATCTTTACTGTAAGCACCTCCCGGGCCTCTGGAGGGAAGGGGATGTGCAGCTGGCCTTGTGCCTGGTGTGGGCTGCCCTCCCCGCCTCTGTCCATCGGCCGCCCTCCCGTGCACACCCATGGGTCAGCCCTCTGCCAGCTGTGCACCCAGTGCGCCTCTGACTTCCGTTCTTCCAGCATCATCAAACTGTATGGTCATTCAGCGTCTGCCCAGTACTCGTTCATCCACCCCGCCGGCCCCATCCATTCCTTAGGCTTCTGTCTCTCCAGCGTCCATCTGTCCATCTCGCTCTACGCATCTGCCTTCTCAGCATCTTCCCAGCACCCTCCCCCCACCCATCTCTGTCCATGCGTTCACCCTGTTCATTTATTCATCCATCCTTTATCCTTCTGCCTACTGAAATTTACCCGGAATTCTTACACCCATGTCCTGAGCAGCTATTGAAATTTCACCCCTAAATTCAATTCCCACTAACTTCCATCTTTCTATCCAATGACCACCGTGTACCAACATAACCTGCCTGTCCAGTCAGTATCTTGTGCCAGCCCTCATCTATCTATACCTCCATCCATCCATCCATCTATCCATCCATCCATCCTTCCTTCCCTCTGCCCGTCCATCCATTCTACACAAATCCATGGCATCCACCTGCTGCCCCTGGTAGGCACTGTCTTGGCTGCTGGAGATACAATACTAGCTAAGATAGCCATGGTCAGTGCTCACAGGCGAGGTGGCTGTGCTTTAAAAATACTGAATCAGCCCCAATTCTGCCAGTTGTCAGTGGTGAAATCTGGGGCCTCACCTCACTTTTGCCTGGGTGAGCACTAGCCTCTCCCTCCTCCTCACAGGTGATGATGAGGGTGGGTAAGAACATCGTTAAGTCCTTTGTGGGGCAGTGCCCGGCAGGCGAGATGCCCCTACTGCTGGGAAGGAACTGTGCAGTTATCTTAGTTACTTTCTTGTTGCTGGGACACCCACAAGTTAAAGGTTTATTTTAGCTCACAGACTGTAGAGATTTTAGCTCGTAGGTTCTAGTTCCCAGGAGGGCGCCTGACGGAGACACAGTGCACGGTGTGCAGCATGGAGCCTCCCTTTCCCTTTTTGTTCCCTTCAGGCTACGAGCCTATTGGTTGGCGCCTCTGACACTCAGGGTGGGCCTTCCGCCTTCAGTGACTCTAGGAAGCCACATCCGGAACCTCATTAACCAATCAGTGGCCGAATCCAGTGATCACATCAATGACCTCATTAACCAATCAGTGGCCGAATCCAGTGATCACATCAATGACCTCATTAACCAATCAGTGGCCGAATCCAGTGATCACATCAATGATCCGATCACACCCACCACCCAGCCACCCCCAAAAGGCCCACTGGGAGCCCTTGAGGCTTCAGGGGACATTTAGATAAAAACCGCAGCAGGGGTTCACGTGACATCTTGCCCTCAGGTGCTGGTCAAGGGCAGGTATGTCACTGTCCTCCTGGACCCGCACTCCTACGACACGGTGACCTGGGAGTCGCGCACCAAGCTGGACTTCCACGGCTATGCCGTCATCCTCATGGAGAAGATTTTCAACGTGCGGCTCCCACATTACGACCCCAGTGACGAGAAGGCCAAGATGAAACTGTGAGTGGCTGAGGCGGTCCTGCAGGTGGCCGGGGTGGGTGGTCAAGGCCTGGCCCCACAGCAGCCCTACCGTGGAGAGGACAAAAGGCCAGCAACGGGAGCCCCTGGCCGGTGCGCGCCGGCTGTTCTTCCCGCTGCCAGCAGGGGTCGCTGTCGACCTCTGGCTTTGCGCTGCCCGGTCCACCCATCTGGCCATTCACGCCTTAGACAAGAGGTCCGTTTCTTGGCCTCTAATTGCATCCAAAGTTTGGCTCACCATGGACCCTGCCTTATGGAGACTCAGCCGAGAGGCCTCTCATTTCTGTCACTCTCTAGACAGGGTCTCTCCTGCAACCCCAGAGACCAGGTTACCCGCCCAGAGTCCTTTACGTATGGTCATTGGCCTGGAGTTGTGTCCCTTTAGCATCCTTGATCAGGGGACACTTAGTGCTCTAAACAGGGCCTCCCTGAGTGTCAAGGAAGAGTCGGTTCCTTAGTTTCTTCGGGAGCTGTGCCTCAGGCCGGCATGGCCTGTTGCAGTTGGGTTTAGCCTGCGTCGGGCAGACCGGGCCTCGGTCCCAGCCACTCCTCTCATGGCCTCTCCTCTGTGTTCCTGTTTCTCTGTCTGTAACTGTTGTTCCTATGCCAAGAGGTCTGTGCACTTAGCCCGTTTAAGAGGAGCCATCACTGCTGCTGCTAGTGACCCTAGAGGCCATTTCCCACAGCCTCCATTTCCGGGGGACATGAGCCAAGGGGCCTAGGTTTGGGGAGAGAAGTGGCCAAGGGTCTGTGTTTCCTTCGGGGACCTGAACTTGCTCCCTTTTGTCACTGCCTCAGGACCCTGCAGCACAGAGACCTGCAGGCACTCACTGACGCCATGTACTCCAACCTCCGCACTGTCCTGCTGGGGGAGCCCGCAGAGGCGGCTGGTGACTGGCACAAGACGGGTCTCTTCGAGTTCTCTTACAGCGCCCTCCTCAGGTGAGCTCAGGACCGTCACTGTCCCAGCAGGGGCCCCCACACTGGACCGCGTCAGTCACAGGCAGTGGCCAAGGGGACCAGGAGCGTGGAGTCATGCCCAAAGCAACCAGCACAGGGTGGACACTGTACATCGGGGCCCCAGTTCACCTGGCCCCGCCCCTGAGCTGGAACAGGCCCTGTGGCCAGTCAGAGAGGGAGCAGCAAGGCCACAGGCCACCTTGTCCTGCGGCTTCTCAACTCTAGAGTTTGCACAGGGAGGCCCATCCAGGGCTGCACACAGTGTGCGTTCCCTCCTACAGCAGGGCTGGGTGCCCTCCTGGGCTCTGGGCATACAGCAGGGAACAGGCGGATGAGGTCCTGAGGTCAACAGGGGTGAGCCTGAGGGCAGGTCCACGGAGGGTGACAGCATCTGGGCCGCTTTCGGCCAGGCTGACGAGGGAGGGATCGTCTAAAGATCCAGCCTCCAGCAGAGACCTGTCTCCAAAGTGCCTTGGTGCCACCATCCTGGCAGAGACCATGGCAAGTGCAAAAGGCCCAGATGTGGGAAGAAGCTTGGCAGGAGGGCCACTGTGGATGGGGCAGAGTGCCCAGGGACAGGGTGGAGATAAGGTCACTGAAGCTGGCAGAGCCAGGTCTCCCCAAGCTTAGCCTCCATGGACCTTACTGTCAGCATGAGGGGGTGATACTGAGGGTCTTCAGCAGGGGCACAACAGGGTCCGATGGAGTTTTTGTTTTGTTTTGTTTTTTGACGGGAATTGAATTCAGGGCCTTGTGCTTGCCAGACAGGTGCTGTGCTGCTGAGCTGCATCCCGGCTCTCGACGCAGGGGTTTAAAGCCCACTTTGGCTACTGCAAGGAAAATGGGTAGCAGGTCGGGGGGCTGAAGTTGTGGGTGACTTGGGAGGTGGGCGGTGGCGGGCTGGGGCTCCGCCTGGGAGTGGCGAGCGGAATGAGCTGAGCACAACGCCTTGGCTTCCCGTGCTGCCGGTAACGGACCCCCTTCTGGCAGAGGGCTTCGTCCTGCGGCAAGCAGAGCAGCTGTTTCAGGAGCAGGGCAGCCAGGCGCTGACACAGGAGCGTGCATGCATGATGCACCTATAGCCTGGCGTGCATCTGTGTAGACGCCACACATCAACTCAGTGCTCACAACAGCACCACGAAGCTGGCTACACACCCATTTGACAGAGGGGAAAGCTGAGACCCTAAGTCATTTGCTGAGTCCCCATGAGGTGGAGTGGGGTGCAGCTCCAGACCTGCGCTCTCAGCCATGCCCTCGTCTGCCAGTGACCCCGTTTTCCTCCTCTGCCTGCAGTGGGGTGGAAATGGTCTGGGTCACTCTATCATTGTAGGCTGGGGACTGAGGGGGCAGCAAAACTTCCCCGAAAGTTCATGGCAGGGCAACTTGCAGCTGTCCCTGGGCTTTGAACTCCTCAGCACATCCTGCTGGCCTAGGTCCAGGGGCGGAGGAGCGGGGAGAGGCCCAGGGCTGGAGGGGCGGGTGGCAGGCCAGTCCAGGACTTAGCACTTAGCTCCTGGCCTGGAGCTGCAGCCTCTGCACTTGTGGGCCTTTGCCACCGTCTGTGACCCTGGAAACAGAAGGAGAGTGGGTCGCTGCTAGACGAGGTGGCCCAAGGCCTAATCCCAGCTGAGGCAGGAGGATCGCAAGTTCGAGGCCATCATGGACAACTTAGTAAAAGGCTGTCTCAACACCCCAGATTCGATCCCCAGGCTGGAACAGAAAGGATGGAAGTAGGGATGGGCAGGCAGGGCACAGAGATGCCGGTGCAGACTCTGCGCACCCTGTGAGGTGCCACGGCTTGAACCTCCCGGCCTGTCCTAGATCTGGCCCTGCCTTAGGGCCGAAGCTCTCCGGCTCCCTCCATCACGCGGCCTCCCGGCTGCCGGGGGCAGGTTGGGCATGCTCCTTTGCGAGGCCCCTGCTCTTTGTGACCCCCACTCATCTGCATGGCTCCTGCTTCCCTTTGGGACACCACCTACCCCGCCGGGGCCCTCAATACCTGGCCGGCTCCACCTTGGTTTTTCTTTGTGGGGCCTGGCGCCACCTAGGGGCTGTGTGTGTATTTACACAGGTGATTGTTACCTGTGGCCGGAGGTTCCCATCACAGGTACCCTGCGCCGTAAAACCTCCTCGGGGTCCCCGAGTTCATTGTTTGGTCTTTATTTGCATTGTACACTCCTCCCCCACCCTGTCACCGTTGCTCAGTCCTTCCCCACACTGTCCTGCAGGACCAGGGCTGTGACTGGCCACCAATGACTTTGAGACACTCGGCCCTCGCCCCCTCACACTGCAGCTGGGCAGTGACCCTCCATCACTGGGAAGCGCTCTGACCAGGCTGGGGCTGCTGCCTGGCCTCTGGGTCTTTGCATAGGCCCTGCCTGCTGCCGGCACACCTCCCCCTGCCCTTCTTCTGTTCATCCTGTGGGTCTCATGACAACCTCTGCCTCCTCCAGGAAGCCTCCCCTGACCCTTTCCAGGTGTCTCCTCTCCTCACCTCTGCCTCTCATCGTATCCTGTGGCCCCCTTGCTTGCTCACTCTCCTCCAGCCTCACCATCCTCCTTGGTGCTCTTCAACACTTTGGTTCCCTCCTGCCACAGGACATTTGCACTTGCTGTTTGTCTTCCCCCTTTCTTGCTCCTCCCGTGCATATCCCCTGTCACCTTCCAGCTTACCCAGGAGATAAGTGTCACCATCCCACCCTCCCTGAACTGCCTTCCTGCCCCAGAGCACTGCTGACATGGAGCTCATGTAGCTCATTCCTCTGGCCTGTCATGTATCTCCTGTGCTACAGTTTCAGCACCAGAGAACAGAGATTCTTGCCTGTCTTTGTTCCTCATGCCCAGCACAGAGTCAGCACACCAGGAGCTCCACCAGTGAATGGGCTGAGGAACTTCTCAGCCACCGTGGAGCGTGGGCTGGGAGTTTCCAGGGAGGACCCCTGACCTGCTGCTGCTGTCCCCAGAGCCGGCTTCCTGACCTTGTATGGAGTGGAGGCGTCACCAGGCACCCCTGAGAGCCAGGCCCAGGACCGCACCCACTCAGCCGAGGTCTTTCACACCTTCCGGCAGCTCGACCTGCTGTTTCCCAAGCTGGCCCGAGGCTCCCTGTCAGCAGGTAAGCGCCACACACTCCCATGGGCAGCGGGCTGGCGGGGAGCCCCTACGGTCTTTACTGATGGAGGAAGCACCAGCAGCCACATAGGAGGAGGGACACCCCACCCCACCCCACCCCACCGTGGGGGCTGCAGGAGCACAGTGCCGGGAACACGGGGCTTGGGCCAGAGCTTCCTTGTACAAGCTGTGATTCAGCACACACAGAGTGGATCTGTGTGTGTGTGTGTGTGTGAGTGTGTGCCTGTCTTCCTTTTCTTGTTTATTTTTTACAGGTAGTTCATACTTGTAAAAAAAATTCAAGGCTCTGGGAACAGTGAGAGCGTTTCCCATGTTCTCCCCATGTCCAGCCCACCACAACCCTCCGTAGAGATAAGTGTTGACGCTCTCTGGAGTGTATCCTGGCAGCACTTTCTCTAAACAGATTCCTGTAGAGACACACACGTGGACACAGAATTATGTGTCGTTTTATTGTTTGTGAAGCTCTTGTATTTTTGTTTGTTTGTTTTTGGGCTGGGGCACTGGGTCCCACTCTGCAGTTCAGGCTGGCCTGGAGCTCACTCTGTAGCCCAGGCTGGTCTCAAACGTGCATCAGTCCTCCTGCCTCAGTCTCCTGAGTGCTGGGATTGTAGGCGTGAGCCCCACACCAGCTCTATTTCTTCCTGTGTAGTTTACATTTGGGAAAGCGCACACACTCTGTACGCACATCCGAGAGAGGCTCTACACGTCGCACCCTCCCGCCACTTTCAGCCCTGAAGGAGACCGCTGTCTGGTCTTTCGCCTCCTGTTAGCTTTGCCTGTTCTTGACATTAGCAAACATGGAGTCTCACGGTGTGCGCTTCCTGAGTTCGGTTTCTTTCATTCAATGTAACGTCTGGGAGTCATCCGGTTGCCGTATGTGTTGCTGGCCTGTTCTTTTTCACTGTGATGTAATATTTCACCAGAGTAAATGTTCCTTGTTTCTTGTTGACAGACGGTTGTGTGGTTTCCGCTTGGGGGCAGGCACAAGCACTTGTGTGTGTCTCAGAGCTTGTGCACACTCGGTTCTTGTAGCTGTCAGCCGTGTGCTTTTGTAGCGTAGATCCATCATGTTGGAGGAATTCTCCTGCCACTTTGAGGCGTCAGTGGGCTCCATGGTGAGCGCATTTCCACACTGGTTTGGAAAACCCTCCTCATTCCTTTTCTCCTCCTGGCTGCGGAGGGCAGCAGTGTTAGGGAGGAGCTTCTGGCCAGGCACTGCGCGGCCTCGGGCACCAGGGGCTGCACCGTCTCCGGGTCCCCGAGTCTCTTCTTCCCTGTGGGGTGCGTCCTCAGGCTCTTAGGTACTCGCAGCACAGGTACTGGGTCCCCTCGAGGGCTCTGGATTCCAGATCTCGGGGCGCCTGGAGGGCCGCGAGCGCTGGCCGCCCTGAGAAGGCTGGCAAGTGCCGTGTGTTTGGGTCTCAGGCGCTCACAGAAGTCTGGGCTCGAGTCCCTGCACTGCCCTTTCCTGCTGGCCACTCAGCAGGTGACTTCCTGCAGTTTCTGCCTTTGGGGGCAGAGTCAGGAGCACGGTGAGGACAAACTCTGCCTCGAGTGGCTTGAGCTCCGCACCGCATCTCTGCGCTCTCTCTGTGCCTCTGTGGCTTCACCTGTGAGGTGAGGAGTGCAGTGGGGTCGTCTAAAGGCGGCTGTGAGGACGGGCAGGGTCGGGAGAAAACAGCACCGGCTGAGCACTTGGTGCTGTGTGTCAGCCTCGCCAGATGTGTCGCATTCTGTGCTCAAAACACCTGGACACCACTTCCTTTCCTATGCATTTTTATAAACCAAGTTTTGCATGTTAATGATTCTGTGTATATTACAAAAGAAACATAATTTTGTGCCTAATAATTTAGAGGTACAAAGCCTGGTGTGGTAGTGCACTCCTGTAATCCCAACACTCAGGACGCTGAGGCAGGAAGATCATTGCAAGTTCGAGACCAGGCTGGCTACAAAGTGAGCCCAAGGCCAGCCTGAAACTTCATAGTGAGACCCTGTCTCAAAAAGACAAAAAAAATTAGTTTGTACAGCTAGTAGAGACTAATGATACTGCTTCTCCACTGCCAGCATCTGGGACGTATCCCTGTGCAGAAGGTGCATGCTCACACAAACAGACACACACGTGACTCTATATGTATTATATATATGCATATATATGTTGTGTATATATGTATAAATCTAGGGTGTTTCAGTGTATGTTTAGAAAGAGAGATTGCACAGTATCTGCTCTTTGCAATCTTTAGTTTCTTCAGAACGTACACTATAGCTGTGCATTCTCCCCTGTCAAATAAACATCTTTTAGAAGTATCAGCCAATGCAATTAGACAAGGGGAACCAATTACAGATAGAAGATTAGGTAAAGAAGTAAAATCTTTGATCTCCGTCACATTCAGATGATTTGATATGGTACCAGGAAAATCCCAGGAATCAATGGCAAAACTTACTCGAAGGCCAGGTGTGGTGGTGCTCACCTGTAATCCCAGCATTTGGGAGGCTGAGGCAGGAGGATCACTGTGAGTTCCGAGATCAACATAGGCTACAAAGTGAGTTCAAGGCCAGCCTGAACTGCACAGTGAAACCCTGCCTCAAAAAGACAAATAATTGCTTAAGACAAACTTAAGCAATAAAAGAATACAGGAAATTAGAAGATAAGAATCTAATATAAAAATGTCGACCTCCTGGTCTTGGCATGGCTGGGACAGTAACTGGCTGTCTCCCTTTGATGGATATTTATTTATTTTTGATGGCTATTTAGATTGTTTTATTTTTGCAATCACAGTATAACTGCGCACCACTTCAGGCTACCATCTGTAGATTTCGCTTTTCTCTGACTCTCTCCCAGAAGTGGGATTACCAGGTCAAAGGCCATATACATAAAAGTTTTATTAGCTGTGTCATTTCCAAAGCCATGGAGCAGTTCAAAGCCAGGCCAAAGGAAAGGGAGTCCGCAGCGCTCCACCAGATGTTTATCCAACCTTCCGTTTGCTTGCCAGTGTGTTGGACAGAGGTGGGAAACCAACTGTTTAAATATGTATTTTTCCACAACCTTGTCCGTGCAGTTTTGGGCCTAATTCTTGCTAATCTGAGCAGAAGAGGGCGTCTGACTTCCCGCAGCATTTCCGTGACCACCACGCAGGGTCTTTCCGTGGTTCACTCGCCAACTGCATTACCTCCCTGTGAGCTGTCCATCACGGTGCATCTTTCTAGAGACCCTGTTGTGTCAAATCCTGCCATCACTACTGAAGACCACACAGGACACTGAGGCCAGGAGAGGTAGAATTTTTGGTCACAGACAACGTGGAGTTGCTTCCCAGGAAAAGTTGGGTTTTGTCATGGTGCTTTCCTGGGTAAACGCAGAGCGATTCCATCATCTGGAAGCTGCTCTGTGCATGGGAGGGAAGGCTGCATTTCCCAGGGTGAGCAGCAGGTGGCAGTGTCGGCAGACGGTCTTGCACGGCTGCTGCGCCCAGATCTTAACTTGGGGAACACACAGCAGCGTTCTCTCTGGAAGACAGCTGGGCAGAACCCACCAGGATTTAAAATGTACATCTCTTGATCCAGTACTTTGGCGTCTAGGAATGGCTCCTTCAGAAATACTTGCATGTGTCTACAGGTATGCAAAGATAGCCATTGCCCCCTGCTTGTGAGGGCAGAGCTAGAAACTGAGGCGGGGAAAGAAACCGCCAGCCTGCCCGGTGTCCGCACAACGGGGTCTGCGTTCTCTAAAGTCGATGGATGACTTTAGGAACAGCAGAGAGTCAGAGCAGGAAGAACTTACTGAGAGAAAGAGAGCTTCGACTAAGAGGGACAGAAGGGGACCTGGAAAGCAGGTTGCCCACCCACCGAGCCACAAGGTGATTGAGGCGGGTTCAAGCTGGGACAGACCTATAATCAATCAATAAGATTAGGAAATACTGATTCAGTAGAAAGTCAGAATGGGTGCGAGAGAGGCCAAAACCATGGTCAACCAACAAGCTTATAACAGGTCTGGTCGCTTAGGGATGTTGATTAAATGGGGCTCAAATGGAGAAGTAAGTCTCACGGCCAGCGCCACGGGACAGATGAGGACTCTCCCGGACGCGGGTGAGGGAGGTTTGTTCTCCACCCACCGGTATCAGTCAGTGCTGCCCATCGGAGGAGGACAGGGGGAGTCATTCCTTGCAGGCTGGACCCCAGTGCCGGCGTTGCAGCCACAGCTGTCTCCTCTACTGACCTACCGAGGCCTCAGGCCCGTCTGACTGCTACAGTATTTCTGCCTAACTTGGTTCTCTGGAGTACTATCACCTGGTCCAAAACGTCTGGATAGACGTTTGTCACCCGGGTGGGTGACCAGGACCTCCGGACTCATCTCTCCCAGAAGTGTCCGAGCTCTTTTCACGGACACCTGCCATGTGACCTGCTTCCCCATTGGGTCAGTATTACCTAAGCAGCTATCCTTGCAACCTTATTGGTGGGTCCTAGTTTGTCCCACGTTGTACCCATCTTGTGATTCTGCTCTGTAAATCTTCTTTTGAGAAGTGGGCTCGTTGGAGCCCACTCAGGCCCTCTGCTGGAGTCAGACTCAGGACCTGGCTGTTGCTAGGCAGTGGTATGCTGCTGAGCTATATCCCGAGCTGAAAGATTCCTGCTCTTCCATTCCTGAGAATTCATCCTTTGATTTTGGGGAATTCAGCGTATCTGACATCTGGCAGGTTGGGAGTTATAATATTTCCCTTATATCTTTTGGAGGTCACCCCAGGAGAAGCTGGATATGTTGTCACATACATGTAATCCCAGAGCTCAGGAGGCTGAGGCAGGAGGTTTGCCTTGAGCTCAAGGCTTGCTTAGGCTACACAGTGAGCTCAAGGGCAGCCTGCACTATAAAATAACACCTTGTCTCACAAAAACAACAAAAATAAATAAAGTAAACAACACCCCAGGAAATAGTTTGTAGCACCTGGAAATTTTACAGCAACCAAGGTAACTCCCACTTTTACCTGGGTTGATGCTGGGGGAAACCAAGCCTCATGTGTGGGCATTTGGTCCTGCGTGGCTTCATGACAGGATGTACGGAGAAGTATGCTGTCAGGTGATTTTAATCTGGTGTAAACATAGAGTATAAATCTGCACACTGAGACCACTGTGATGTCACTGGAAATGTGACCCAGTGAGTCCGCTGTCATTTGTGCGGTCTGCCATTGACTGAGACACTGGATGGCTGTGTGTGGGGCCTGAGGTGTCATCCTGCCTGGAGCCATCGTGCCTGGCTTTATTCCCTTCCCACCCATCTTTGTACTCTTAGAGAAGTTCCCATTTGCTTTCTGCTGGTGGCTTTTCCGGAGTATAAACACTCCTCGGTTTATTTACTGTTAAGTTGCTATCTGGTGTCCTTGGGGCGGTGTTGACCTTTAGAGATGCTTTTGTGATCTGAACAGTGACTAAAGCTTCTTACTTAGATGCTGATTTTTAAAACCCCAGAAGCAGGGCTGGGGTACAGCTCAGTGTTACAGCTCTTGCCTAGCCTGGCGAGGTCCTGGGTGTCATCCTCAGAGCCAGGAAGCAAAAACACTGGACGATTCCACTCACACATCTACATTTTCAGCTGCTTCTGCAAACTCAGGCCCTCTGACGCCGTGGAACCAGCTTCTCTGTTAGTGCTGAAGGGGCCGGTAGGGACAGTCTCCCTTCCCTGGACGGCGGGGCCGCCTTTGGTGCTCAGCCCACCCCTGGCTCAGGCATGCGTGGCCTTGTTCTGGGTCCAGCCCTGGGAAGAGAGGGCCATGCCTCCCAAACGGCTCTGCAGAGAGTCACCCTGCATAGGATGCGTGCTTGGTGGATGGCTGCTGTGAGCCCAGGCACGGGAGACACAGAAGTGGATGACACAGGCAGACTCCTGTCTGCAGGAGACAAGCATCTTGCTTCTTTCTGCCAGGACTGAGACAGATAAGGAGCAAGGTGACATTAAAGGCTTCCCCTGGGATTTACCTCACAGCCTCATCCCCCCCGCCTCCACTGAATGATATCCAGAAGCTGAGACCTGGGAGCCAGGGCTGGGCAGTCCTGGGCCGGAGGTGGCCCTGCACCCTCCACTTTCTCTTCTCTGTCCCTCAGGGGAGAAGGACAGCGCATGCAGCGTCAGAGGTCGCCTGTGGAAGCTGTTGTCACCAGCCAGCCTGGCCCCCCGAGCGCTCAGGAGCAGCTGGCTGCAGAGTTACCTTGGGCACCTGGAGGAGCTGGGGGTATCGCCAGAAATGCAGGCGCGGGCCCTGGTGCTGCAGCTCTGGGCCACACAGGTGGGCACAGCGTGGGCGAGGTGCACGACATGCCCAGACGAGTGAGTGTGTGTGTGAGTGTGTGTGCGGACCAGTGTGCATGCAGCCAGTATGCAGGTGACTGCTTGTGTGAGCACGTGTGTGTTCGCGTGCAGGCATGAAGGGCGTGGGCTTGTGTCTGTCTGGGTCTCACTTACTGTCAAACAGTACCGGGACGGGATCATTCATGTATGTTTTTAAGTCTGGGAAAATGTCAAACTCATAGCAAACTTTTGTGGTTCCACGAACTCCTGCATAGAGGACCCAGTTGTGATGAGCGGGGTCCCCGCCCCTGCCACGCCCTCCCCTTCCCTCACATGGTTTCAGGCCTCCCCCCCCCCTCCTGCTGTGATTGTTTGATTGGATCACTGCCAAGTAGCTTGCCGGCAGTGAGACTTTTTGCCCCTAATCACTTCGGGTGCATCTCGGGAGGAAAAGCCTCCTCTCCCCTGTCCACTGAGCACCATCAAATCCGGGACGGCTACCAAGTGCAGGCCGCTGTGCCCTCTACATTCTGCCTTCCTTCGAGGTTCTTCTGGGCAGTGCGCCGTCCTGGGTCACACATTGACTTCAGTTTGCTTTAGTTTTCTTGAATCGGGCAGTTTCTAGTCATTTCATTGTTTTTCATGACCCTGACGTTTCTAAAGTGTGCAGACCAGGGTTTGGAAGAACCATTGAAGAGTCCCACCGAGTGTTTACTGTGGAGCTCAGAGGTGCTGCTTTGCATTGCTTTCACTGTAATCAGAGTGGGCAGAGAGCAGATAGTCAGGGAGACAGACCTGCAGGTTATAAATGGGGCTGGGAATGGAGACCTCCTGGGAGTCTGTCCCAGCCAAGGGCCTCTCTGGGGCCGAGATGTTTGACGTGATCCCTGGATCCAAACAGGGCTAGACTCAGGAACGTGGGAAATGTACAAGGGAGAGCATTCTGGGTAGCAGCAAGTGCAAAGGCCCTGGGCCTTGCCAGGTGCTGGGATAAAGCAAGGAGCTGAGTGTAGCTAACGCAGGCTGGGTGGGGAGTGGAACTGAGGGAAGCGGTCACGGGCAGCCTCGCAGGTCTCAGCAGGTGAGGACTGGGGTCTTCCTCAGGGTGAGGCGGGAGCCCTTTGAGAGCCTGTGTCCAGGAGGGGCAGGAAGGGGACACCAGTGCAGATCAGGTGGCGCCTTTGTGGGGAGTGAAGAAGTGCATAGGGTTTGGAAACTGCGGTGACAGCCAGTGGCCTTGGTAACGGCCCGGATGTTGGCGTGAGAGGAAGGCGCAGCCCTGGCTGGTTCCTGCCCGCAGTCCTGGCTCCCGTGAGCCCTCTGTCTCCGGGTCCCACCCTGGCTGTGGCCTTGTGCAGGGTAATTCCTCTCCCATCAGCTCCAGACTTATGTTTAGTTCCTTCTCAGAGCCAATAGACGGCTACTTGGGCCGAGGCTGGCAGGGCAGGCAGGGTTTCATCGGCAGCTTAGGAGCTGACACATAGTTATGGGCGGGGTGACCTAGCTCCAGCTGTCACCAGGCCCTGAACACGGAACCGGACACTGGCTGGGGGCTTGAGTCAGAGTCCAGGGAGCGGCCTGGCTTTGGCCGGGAGAGTGTGTGGGTGCTGGGGCGCCAGGGCACCGGGGACAGGATGCCCTCAGCGGGCTGTGCTCTGGTGGGTGACATCCCTTTGGACGCTCCAGCATGGAGCATGGGATCCCAGCTGTGCAGCCCCAGGGCTCGGGGGCCAACTCTGACCCACCTGCCTCTTCCTGGTAGATCAGTCCTTTGGCCCTCAGTACCTCAGTTTACCTAACCTAGCGCCTTCCTCGGGGCGTGGTGTGAGACTAGGATGAAGATCTAGAACCGTGCAGGGCAGGTGGCAAGGGTTCCTCGGGTGCTCCACTGACTACCGCCCAGGGCCTGCACTTGCCGGGCTCCCTGCTAGGAACTGGGGGCCGGAGTGACACACAGAGCTCCCCGAACTGAGGAGCTGGCATTCTCGTGAGAGAAAATGACAATTCATAGACATGGAAGCTGATCAAATCATGGGAGGGAGTATGTTCTGGGACAAAAGAGGAAGACAGAAGAATGTGGAGGGAAAGGAGGAGGGCCTGATTCAGATAGGGAAGCCAGGGAAGGTCTCTCTGGACAACAGCATGTGTGAAGGAGCAGGCCACACAGCTTCCAGAATGAGGGCTCCCAAGCAGGAGGAGGGCAAGTGCAAAGGCCCTGTGGTAGATATGAGGGCAGTGTGCAGAGGGGTGGCAAATCCCAGACCACATAACATCCTGCAGGTATGGGGAGGGCTTCAGCTCTTACGCTGCATGAGGCAGGTGACCTTTGAGGTCTCTGAGCAGAGGCCAAACATGGCCTGTTTTATGCTTCCGAGGGACCCTTCCTCCTCCATGCTGACAGAGGACCATTGAGTGTGGAAGTGAAGGCAGGGAGGAGGGTACTGCAAGGAGCTGGACCGGGGTCGGGGCTGAAGGGGTCAGATTCCAGATGTGTTCTGGGTAGCACCAACAGGGTAGACACTGGAGAGAGTGTCAAGGACCCCAGCTTTCACCCTGCATGACAAGAAGGATTCAGGCGCCCTTAACGATGAGGAAGAGGATGGGGGAACAAGTTCGAGGGGGGAGCCGGGGTGCTTTGGGCACGAGCAGTTTGAAATGAAGTTGGTGTCCGTCTGGAGATGCAGGACCTGCAGAGCCTTGTGCACGGAGAGATGGGGCTGGGGGAGGTCTCGGGGTGAAGATGGCAAACAGCGAGGGCCAGCCCCGACTTCAGACAGACTTGGGTAAATCCCGGCTCTGCCACCGAGCAGGCATGTGACCTTGAAGAACTTACTTTGTCTTCTGGGGCTCAGTTTTACCATCTGTGAAGAGGACTTTTTTTCACTGTGGCATTGATTTTGAAGTAAATTTAGGTTGTAGAAGAGTTGCCGAGAAAGTACAGGAAATTCCCAGGTTTCTGATATTATGCAGCCACAATACAGTACTACGTGTTACTATTAATTAAAATCCTTACTTTATTCAGATTTCCCAAGTCTTTTTAGGATACCACTGTGCATTCTGGGTGCTTGTTGATTGTTTGTTTATTTTTAAAATTTCTTTCTTTCTTTCTTCCTTCTTTTCATCTTTTTGAGACAGGATCTAACTATGCAGCTCAGGCTCATTTCATAGCCAGGCTGGTCTTGAACTCACAGTGACCTTCCTGCCTCAGCCTCCCAAGTGCCGGGATTGTGGGTGTGCATCACCATACTTGGTTTAAATTGAGTTTATTTTTAGAGCAATTTTAAATTCATATCAAATTGTACCTGAAAGCACAGGCATTTTCCCTGTAGTCCTGCTGTCATCAATAACACCCCCCAGCTGGTACATTAGTGACAGATTATAAACTATTTACTTAATATATCATTGTTACCCTTGGGACATTTTTCTATTCCCTTAAAATATTTTTAAATCAGACTTCAAGGAAGCACAGTCTGCACCTGGAACCTTGGCTGCCCATTCCCCTGTGTTGACCCCGGGTTCAGCTGGCTTCCTCGTGTGGTGGCCTTGGTGGCCCTGGCGTTTCAGGCTGCTCAGCAGAAGCTGGTCTTTCCCAAGAGACCGGCATGAATCTGTCCCCTCTGAACGGACCATGTTGCAGCCCCCTCAGGTCACATACCCACCCCTGACGGCAGCAGACGCTCAGCCCCAGACCATGCCTGTGGACTCGAGCGAGGTAGAGGTCATTCTCTGGAGGAAAGTGAGGTGCTGTCACCCCAAGATGAGCCAGGGCAGCCGGATGGGTGCGTGGACCACCAAGTGTGTGGTGAGGCACAGGGAGCGCCCCCTGCAGGCCAGCCACACCCTTCCCTGCAGAGGCAGGGCCAAGGTGGGACCCAGGAAGGCGCTGCAGGTCCGGGGCTCGAGCCGTGGCAGGAGGGAATGTGCTGGGAGCAAGTGTCTTCCTGGTAAGCTGAGACAGGCTCATGGGAGAAAGTCCAGCACCAGGCAGTGATCCGGCATCCCTGTGACACAGCGTGACTACACTCATGTGTGTGCACGCCCCACACCTGCCTACAAGGCCACCCTGTTCACTCCCTAGTTTGTACAGCTTCTTCCTGCAAGCAGAGGTAACCCAGCACAGTGAACTCCGCTCCTGCTGGGTAATTAATAAGCAGTGACCCTGTCTGATCATCGGGGCAGGATGAAAGGGCCTTGGCGCTGCGCTGCCTGCTGCTGAATCACCACGTTCCCTGGTCAGCTAAATGATGGACAGCAAGTGACCTTGCCATCCCAGCCAGGCGTCTAGTGTGGGAGGGGCTCCGAGGGGTGCTGAGGCCACGCTTGCACCCGAACCCCGAGGAGGGCTGGTGCTAGGGGTCCACCCCACAGTGCTCCTCTGTGCCCCGGTCTCAGCTGACCCTGTGGCCTCCCCATTGTCCTGAGGAGGACTCTGAGGCCTGGAGGAGTGACTTGTTCAGAGTCACAGAATGGGGAGCTGCGAGCTGAACCCCGCTATGTTCAGGTCTCTTCCAGCCCATCTCCAGGATGTCTTGGAGCCTTCTGATCCCGGGGGACACAGGTTAACTGCATGCATATCAGTGAGGCCCTGCTAATGCTGGGCGGTGGGTCGTGACCAGGAAGGAACTCATTTCCCCTTCTAGTAAAAGTCCTGATTGATAGCAATGAATGCTTGCTGAATTAGGGAACATGGTGCCTGCTCGGTGCTGAATTCAGGTGAGATAGAGGTGCAGAATTCGTCTTACCATTGCAGATGCTCTGGTGCGTGCATGTGTGTAAGGTGCATGCATGTGTGTTAAGGATTGAACTGGGGGAGCACTGAGCTGGATTCAAGCTTTTTTTTTTAAAAACAGGGTTCTCACTATGTAGTCCAGGCTGGCCCTGAACTCACTCTGTAGCCCAGGCTGGCAATCCTCTTTGCCTTGGCCTCCCAAGTGCTGGGATTACAGGTGCGGGCCATCACATCCCAGTGCCCTTTTTATTTTGACATGATGTCTTGTTAAACTGCCCAGGTTGAGCTCAAACTTGGAGTCCTCCTGCCTCAGCCTCCCAAGCTGCTAATGCTGCAGGCGTGTGCCACACGGCAGCTTGCACACTTCGTGACAGCCTTTGTCTGTGATTTTCTTCTGTGGTTCAGGCGGTACAGTTGTTTTAGTTCAGATTTCTGTTTGATTCAGCTCTGTACCATGAGCATTTCTCATGCCTTTGCAGACCACTGTGAGAATCATTCAGTGCCCTTCTGATTTGTTTAAAAATAGGACATCTGTGAAAAGCTCGGAGCCTTTACCAGGGTTTGTGTGTATTAAAGGAGAGGTAATCTTCCTCCTGCATCTGTCCCAGAAGCCACCTCAGGGCCAGTTCCTGTGTCTCCTAGAGGTAGCCCCCACTTCTTCTATCGTGCCTCTTCACACACAGACCCCTACTCTACACTCTGCTGTTTGCACACTCGGAGTGTGGGGCTCAGTCCACACCAGCCACCTCCGAGCTGGCTCCTGCATCCCCTTCCTATGACGGATCACCGGTCAGCTCACCGGTCGCCTATTGGCAGACACAGGGCTTCCTGCCAATGCTTTTTGCTGTTCCATGAGCATTGCAATAAATATCCTCCTGCCTGAGTCTTCTGCCCATGTGCAGTTATGCTTGTAATGAGATTACCAGGTAGACATAATGGTTAATGATGATTTAGTGTTCCATTGTTGTAGTTTGACAGTGTAGTCATTTATGATAGACAAACCATCCCCAAATGCAGATTAGTTGTATTCCTCAGTGTCTGAATGGCTGAAGTCTGCCCAGTGCTGAGGCCAAAATGTATATGCAAATGAGCAGCACAGGCTAAAGCCTTGGAGCAAGACATTTCGTTGATTTTCATTATTTATCTATTGGAAAGTGTCAAGTAAGTATTGTTAAAAAAAAAAAGCACTCATAGTAATTGTTACTATTTTGCTTTAAATGTACATACATCTATTTTTCAAGTGATTGAAATTGTAGCATATAAGGAAAATTTGCATCCCAATTTATATTTAGACATTGTATCAGTTAGCTATTGCTGTGTAACAAACATGCACTAAAACTCACAGGTCTGTGATCTGGCTGATCTGTGTAGGGTTCTGCTGAGCCACTCAGCTCTGTTCTAAGTGTCTCATCCTCTTCCTGGACCTTCTGGCTCAGTGGACAAGTGGAAACACATGACGTGTCTTAAAGCCTTGGTTTAGCATGCTGTTCTCTTTTCCGCATTGACAGTGGCCCTAAACAACATGCCTGGCTTCTGTCACTGATGCTCGCTTTGCCAGTGAGCTGTGTAGACTGCCCAGGAGAGGACTTCAGTAGGTGCTAGGCTCGGCCAGGGCCCCAAGCAGGTTTCAGCCGCAGCCAGAGGCTGCAGACAGACGCTGGCTGTGCCTTCGCTGGGCTGTGCTCCGTGGTGTAACGGTTCCTTCTCACCACAGGGAAACATGGGCCCTGCTGCCTTCTGGCTCCTGGTCTTCCTTCTCAAGAATCCAGAGGCTCTGGCTGCCGTCTGTGAGGAGCTCGAGCGCATCCTGTTGCAAACAGAGCAACCTGTCTCACCGATGGGTGCCCTCCCGCAGAAGGCCTTAGACAACACACCCGTGCTTGGTGAGTTGGCCAAGCCCCCCAAGGCTGTCTCCAGCGTGGCTCCAGGCCCCTCGGGCTCCTCTGACCTAAGGTCCTTCTGAGCTTCTCCAAGCCTCGTGGGCTCAGAAGACCACCTTTGGTTGTGAGTGACCAGAAACCTAAAACACTGGCTGAAGTAGAAAATGGTCTTCATTTGGGACGCACAGCTAGACGGGGTAGCAGTATCTGGCTTCAGGCATGGGCGGATCCAGGTGCTTGAACAGTTACCAGGACTGCCCTGTGGTCTCCTAGCCTCAGTTTCCCCAGTGGGCTCAGTCTTAGGCTGGCAAGGTGGTCTCTGGCTGGCTCAAGGCTGACAGTCCTGGCTGCCTGAGGGCAGGGTGAGCCTCTTTCACAGCAGTCCTAGCTGAAGTCCCAAGATTGTGTCCTAGGGGCTCTCTGGATCATACGCCCACCCGGAAGCTCTGATTGGCCAGTCAAGGCCACATTCCAGCGGTTAGGAACAGGAGCAGTGGCCTCACCCCTGAAAGTAGGAGAGGGGCGGTCCTGAGAAAAATCAGGGGGCTCTTTCCAGAAGAGGAATTGCCCTGGGCAGGCAGCAGCAGATACAGGTGGCCTCCCGCTCTCCTGCCTCCTGGTGTCTCCCTGGCTCCGGCCTTCCTCGCAGCTTCTCCTGCAGTCAGACCTGGATCCCTCACAGTCAGGATCTCTGAGAGACCGGAGCTCACAGCTCATTGTCATCTGGCCTTTCCCACCTTGCTGTGTGACAGTGGGCAAGGTCTGCGCCCTCTCTGAGCCATTTCGCCTTCCTCTACAAAGTGGGACAGGGTAACACTGAGCAGACGGGGCCGGGGGGGGGAAGGGGGACACAGCCTTCTCACCTTCCCGTGTCACCCGTGCAGACAGCGTGCTGAGCGAGAGCCTCAGGCTTACAGCCGCCCCCTTTATCACCCGGGACGTTGTGGTGGACATGGCCCTGCCTCTGGCAGATGGGCGGGAGTTCGCTCTGCGACGCGGTGATCGACTCCTCCTCTTCCCCTTCCTGAGTCCCCAGAGGGATCCGGAAATCTACACAGACCCAGAGGTACGTGACAATCTGCTCCTACTGGGATGACGGGGAAGGTCACTGACTGTGGGAGCAGCCAGCTCTGGGTGCAGCCCGGCTGTGCTCTTTGCCTGCTGTATGACCTTAGCCAGGTGGCTTCATCACTTCACACCTGTGAAATGGTCCTTTCAAGGCTAGCAAGCTCAATCATGTAAGAAAAGATTTTGGCAGTGCCTGGCACACACTTTCCTAAGCAAGAGCTGAGTGATTTTGTTTATTTATTTATTTATTTATTTATTATTATTATTATTATTATTAAGACACAGTCTGGTCTTGAACTCACTGTATAGTCCAGGCTGGACTCGAACTTGCAGTGATCCTCCTGTCTCTGCCTCTTGAGTGCTGAAATTACAGGCTTGTGTCACCATGCCCATCTTGAGTGATTTTATTTTAATTTAGAATGTTATATCCATTTCTCAACACTTTCCCTTCCTTTGTACTTTTTAATGAAGAAAACTTTCATACGTACTGAGTGCCAGGTCCCATGCTACAATTTCCCCCATCCATTCATTCATCTATTGATTTATCCATGTATCCATCTGTCCACTTATCCACCCATCCATCCATCTATCCATCCATCCATCCATCCATCCATCCACCATCCTTCCCTCCACAGCCCACCCGGCCACCCGTCCGTTACTGACCCATCCCTCCCTCCCTCCGTCTGTCTGTCCGTCCACTGGATCGCCCACCTGCCCTTCCGCCCACCTTTCACTCAGCACTTAATCCACACCACACCCCACGCTCAGGTACCGTCCTTGCTTTGTGAAATCAGCTGTAACCAAAGGAAACTGACCTCTTTTCTTTATGCTTTACATTCTTCTGATGGCGTATTACAAAAGTAATACATATTTACCACAAAACAGCAATGTGGAGAACTATGTTTAAAACTGAAAAAAAAGGTCAGTCTCCTTTCCAGTTCCGCAAGGTTCCCTAACCATGGTTTGGAGTGTGTCTTTTCCCCCTTTTTGTCTGTCTGTGTACTGGAGATGAGCTCAGGGCCTTGCGCTCGCCAGGCAGGCACCTGTGCCCTCCCCCACCCCCACCCCCACTCTTTTCTAGAATGTGACACTAGAAGTATTTTTATGCCTTTAACCAGTGTGTGTCTACACACACGCACACACACACACACACACACACACGGAAAAATGAATGAATGCATAAGATCCTACTGCTCTGAAATTTGTGGTTTTTTTCTCTCAATAACGAGCAACAGAAATGTTTTTTTTTATGTAGCACACAAATCTTTTGCCACAGTTTTAGCCAGTCCCCCGTTTGTCGGCTTTCACATTGTCTCATTTTTCCTCCTTCTATAAGCAAGTAATCACATCCTCAAAACATTACTCATGGTGCAGGTTTGTTTCAGGGATCAAATGGACTTCCTTTCTCTTTCAGGTATTTAAGTACAACCGATTTCTGAATCCCGATGGATCTGAGAAGAGAGACTTTTATAAGGGAGGGAAACGGTTGAAGAATTACAACATGCCGTGGGGCGCGGGGCACAATCAGTGTCTGGGGAAGAGTTACGCCATCTACAGCATTAAACAGTGAGTGAGGGGCGGGGCCTGCGGGAATAGGCGGGGCCGGGGCGGGAGTGGGCGGGGTGGGCGGGGTGGGGCGGGGCAAGGTGGCGCCCGCCCCCTCTGGTTGGCTCAGACGCTGCCGCTACTGCGGTGCTCAGCCCGGCCAGTGGTTTAGGGCAGAGATTCAACTAGAAGGGCCGTCTCCTGCCCACAAATCTATTTGTGTTTTTAAAAATGTGTGCTATTTTTTTTAAGCCAGAAGAGCTAATATAAAAAGCCAGACTTTGGATTTCTTGTGAAATAATCTGATCTGGTATCAGATTGTGTCCACATATTAAACACGGACATGCCATCTGGCTGACCACAACTGACCATCTGCAGCTGCCGTGGCGTGCTCAGAGCCCCGTGTCAGAAGCTGGCCAGATGTCAGTGGCTGTGTGGATGCCCCGGGTCTGCAGGGCTCACAGATCTCCTCAGGCTCTGAGAGCCTCAGCTCTCCAGGGTCACAAACCCGCAGTACCGGGGCTGATGCCGCCTGCCCTGGCTCTCTGTCCGGCTCCTGTGACATCTTAAGCTCAGTAAATTTCCGAGCCTCTGTTTCCTCAACTGTAAAGTGGGGTTCCTAACTGCAGCTGCACCCCAGGTGTGTCAGGACCCACGAAGCTTGCCCCCCACTGCCCGGGTTTTGCTAATTGTTAACTGCTGTATTATCAGAGCGCAGGCTGTAGGCTGGGGGATGGATGCAGCACACCAATGCTTTGGCTTCAGTTTCCTTAATAGTAAAATGGAAATCATAACACTATACAGTCGTCCCTGCTCCAAAACGAGGTGTGTGTTCCTAAAGTCACCTCCATGTGAAACCAGGCAGGAAAAACCACAGAGGTTATGTGGAAAAGGGAGCTGGGGTCCAGCACTCAATAGCTTCATCAGGCCCCTAAAAAGAGGGGCCCCATTTTAAAAAAGACAAGAAGCCGATAAAACATCAGCCCAGCTTTGCCCTTGTTAAGTGGTTAGGAGATATGTAAGTGCTAGTTGATGTGACTGCCGACAGACGTCCAGTGTGTGCGTGTGCACATGCGACAGACTTCTGCACAGCCGGGCTCAGCGGGGCCAGTGTGCATCATCACCCTGGTTCCTCCAGGCGAAACTGCGCGTGAGCAGCAAGTGCAAGGTGTGCGCTGCACACAAATGACACAGTCACGTATCAGTTACAGTGGAGCAAATTCACGCATCAAAACAGGCGCCGCAGAACTGGTTGTAGTTCCCACTTCATCAGGCTCTTGGGCAGACAGGAAGAGAGAATGGATACCGAGCATCGTGTTTCAGTAAATTAGCCGATTCATCATCGTAGTTACCTCAGTTGTCTTCGCCACTGTGCTAGGTTGGTTTCAGTGTAAAACTGAGTCTGGCCCGGTCAGATACCGGCCTGGTCAGTAGAGGTGGCAGCGTTCAAACCCAACTTCCATCCCTGATAAACTCACCCTCCAGTATCCAGCAGCCGAGGCCTGGAAGGGACCTGCCTTACCGCTTCCCTTTGAGCAGACGGGGGAGCTGGGGCATGGAGCTGGAGTGAAACCTGGTCAGGGCCGCGTGCCCTCATGCCCTCGTCCTCCTGCTTCTCCGCTTGGCAGTCAGAGGAGCATCCCCGCTCTGTGCTCAGTCCTGCATCAGGTCCCTTGGTCTGGGTGGCGGGACAGTGCTGGCACACAGAGGAGTAAAAGATACACGCCTGACTCCCAGGAACGCAGTCTGTGACAAATAGTAAAGCAGGTGGCCAGGGGTCTGTGGGGGCACCATGGACGTGGCAGCCTTGCACATTGCTCAGGCTGATTCCAGAAGCAGTGTAGGGAGCTCTTGTCTTGCAGAGCTGGGAGATGATGGCCCGGCACCAAAGTGTCTTGTGAGAGTGGTGCTTGTTTTAATCTCAGCAAGACACTGATGGGTGAACAGCAGCCCCGGCCAGGACAGACAGAGTTCCAGGTCTGGGAAAAAGGATGGTAAGGGGTCAGAGGAGAGGCAAGAGCCACGGCATGCAGCAGGGTGAGCTCTGCCTCACTGCTGTAATGAGCAGCTGGGGGCTGAGAAACACACAGGCGTGCTGGGCTTGGGGCTCCTTCACCCCGGGCAAAGATGGGGGCCAGGCACTTTTCCTTGGGTGGTGCCACGCTCTCCATAGGAACCTGCACAGCCCACCAGGCGGAGGGAAGCTGGAGAGCCCACGCTGGCTCCCAGGGTGTGTGTGGGGGGGTGTAGCACCTGCCTCTTCTGTGCCTGCTCACGAGCCTGTGCCAGGACTGACCCCGGCCTGCCGACCTCCAGGGGCTGGCACACCCACAGTTACCCATAGCCTCCAATGCCATCTCTCTGCAGATTTGTGTTCCTCATGCTGACGCACTTTGACCTGGAGCTGGTCAGCACGGACGAGGAGATCCCCAAGTTCGACCTCAGCAGATACGGCTTCGGTCTGATGCAGCCGGAGCACGACGTGGCCGTCCAGTACCGCGTCCGGCCATGACCTGTGGGAGCCTCCAGCCAGCCTGTCCAGCTTCCTGACTTTTCTGTGCCAGCACTGCCATGCCCCTGCTCTCCCCCTACATGCCTGCGCCTCGGGGTGAGAACAGAGTGGAAACCATAAAAGACATCAAAGTCAAGAAAAGACATCGAACATTCTACATCTTATCACAGCAAAGTTTTAGTTCTAAGTCAGGCTCGCTCTTTCTTTTTCTTTTCTTTTTCCCCTTTGAGACAGAATCTCTGTATGTAGTTCAAACTGGCTTTGAACTCATTATGTAGCCCAGGCTGGCTTCAGACTCACAGTGATTCTCCTGCCTCAGCCTCCTCAGTGCTGGAATTACAGCCATGCACCACCATGCCTGGCTAAATCAGGCTCTTTCTGCTGCCAAGGCACCTTTCCTTCTCGCCTTGTGATCTCCACAAAAGCTAATCTAAACAGGGTAGAGTCAGGAGTGCTTACTTTCATGACCCCAACTCCCAGAGGACTCAGTGTCCCAGTCTTGCACAACTGCTGTGGCCTGGGCCTTCACCAGTCAAAGAGAAACCGGCCATGGAGAGGCCTGGATAGTCCTGGCAGTGTGTCCATTGGCATAAGTTCTGTCCCCAGTTATTCAAGTAGCCAAACCCAAAGAGTCCCTTAGGCCATCTCTCTCTGGATGCTGCCTCTAATTCATGAGGGTACTGGCGAGCTCCCGCAGGCTGGTGCACCCAGCCACAGGCACTGCCACACTCAGCACTGGGCACAGAGGCACAGAAGTCTTAGTTCGCGAGCTGCAGGCACCAAATGGGCTGAGCTTTCCCTGCTCGAAGACTCAAGTAGGGACCTGAGTAAGACAACCCTGCCAAGGTGGCTGGCAGGAGCCAGCCAGGGCTCTGCAGGTGGCTCAAGGTGAACCCCAAAAAGAAATGAGCTTCTGGGCTCCAGTGCAGATGCTTCCACCGCTGCTGCACAATCCAGGCTGCATTTGGGTTCAGCTGGGCCTGCACTTTAGAAAGTCAGTTTAGAGCTGCATACGGTGGTACGTGCCTGTGATCCCAGCTACTTGGGAGGCTGAAGCAGGAGGAATCATGAGTTCAAGGCCAGACTGGGCAATTTGGCAAGACCCTGTCTCAACAAAATAAAGCAAAACCAAACCGGAATTGTTATCACATCACCATTTTTAGAGTTGTGACAGATGTCCAGCTTCTTGGAAACTTGGAAGCCGGGGCCACACTGAACCACATTGCCCAGGGAATCACTGGCCAAGCTGAGTGACAGTATCCCCTTAGTATGGACATGTGCTGTGGTCCTCACATTTGGGCTGCATTGCACCTGGCCTGAAGGCACTGGACTCTGATGCACTACATGGACCATAAGTGATATTGTACGAGGTGGGGGTGGTAACCAGCTAGTGGGGCTCCAGGCCGGTCATTCATGACAGTCTTGAAAGAAACAGATCCATGATGAAAACGTGCCTTTGCCTCAGCTTTGGGAACAAACCCGCTTAAGAAGAAAACATTGTCTGCAAACCTTGATTCTGATGGTAAATGTGGCTTTTTAGGTCCTCGTGATCAAGTGCCCTTTACATGCGCGTGACAGGAGTATGTGTGCAGAGAGGGCAGTGTGCCAGCTTTTACACCCAGAGAGCAGGCTCAGAAAGGAAGTGACCGGCTCAGGGTGGCGCAGTTCCTAGGTTGGCAGAGCTCACCTACGCTCTGCCTTGCCTAGTCACAGATGTTGGCAGGGCAGCTCCTCATTCCTGGGGGTCTGGAGGTGGCAATGAAGCAGTTGTATTTGGCATCGGAGAGCAGACAGCCGACTGTGGGTGCGGTTGTGCACTGTCGCACCCGTAACACGGTCTCTAAGCTTTAGCAGGAGGCACAGAGAGGCCCTGAGTCCTCCCAGTGCCCCAGGGGTGAGTCTGCTTTTGAAGCAATCCTAAGGTTTGGGGGCGTCCCTGGTCCTAAGCTCCAGGCACCCCCAGGATTCCCAGACAGACAGCGTGATTGGCAGGAGGCTGGATATCCCCAGGGAAACCCATCTTCACGCCTGGGTGACCCCACTCCCGCCTGCTTCTTAACTCTGCAGGAAATCAGAGCTGGCAGCCTCCTGTGGGAGGATGAGCCGGTTTCCATAGCAACCTCAGCTGCCTCCTCCTGGCTGGAAGGGAAGGAAGAAGGCCCAGAAGAAGCTGCAGAAGGGCTGCGACCCCGGCGTGCAGGGAAACCCTCCGGCTTCCGCCTTCCAAATAGAACTCGGTTGGCATAGCAGCTTGATTCTCACCTGCGTTCAGAGACAGGCCCGTTCACTGCAAAGGGGGTGCCTCCGTGGAGCCGCCATCAGTGTTAGGGAATCACTGGGAACCGCGTCCTCCCAGCCAGGCGGCTCCAGCTGGGATCTGAGACTGAAGCGGAGCCTGGAGGCAGTGACTGAAACCTGTCCTTGTTTTAATCTGTATCATTTTCTAATTTTCCTTTCTCGATTTTTCCTTTTTTTTTTTTTTTTTTTTTTTAAAGTAAGCTTCCAAGAAAAGAGGGAGAGACAAGGTTAGCTGCTCGCTGAAGGTTGCTGGGAAGGAGCAGATGTTACAGGTTCTTCCTGCCCTGTGTAAGAATCACAAAAATTGCAAGACATGCTAAGCTAGAATTCTCTTAACGGCGACCTGACGGAGGGCTTCCTGAGCATTCTTATTATTTTTAAACATTGTAAATTCTTGTTCACCAAACGTTTTCATTTAAACAGACTCACTTTTTTTGGCCAGGTGTGGTTGCACACACCTGTAATGCCAGTGTTGCAGAGGCTGAGGCAGGACGATCCCCACAAGTTCACAGCCAGCCTGAACAACATAGCAAGGCCCTGTCTCAAAAAAGAAAGACTCGTTTTTAAAATTTAAATTTGTTTTTCAGTTGCTGCCAGTGATGGGCCACATGTATTGCTCAAAATAGAAACCGACTGTGAAAAATAAACCAGCTGGGGAAGGGGCTTGGAGCAGCTGGCCCAGGCTCACGGCCCCAGCGCCCTCTCCTCTTGTGTATGGAATGAACCCAGCAAGGTCAGAGTTGCCTGAAGGCTCTGCTGCTTCTCCCAACCTGAGAGAGGGTAAAAGGCACAGGGGACAGGTGCTCACAGCAGGGGCCCCACCCCAGGGAGCTGGTAATGTCCTGCTTGCCTGATCTCCAGACAGAGCCAGCCTCAGGGGCCAAGAGGAACGCACAGACCTTGTGTTCCTCATTGACCTTGACGACCTTGACGTTCTGGATAAACAGCATCCCCCGAGTAGCATAGCGGTGTGCCTTGCTATTTCAAAGCAGAGCTCTATTTACACAGAGCCCTGTTGAGGAGGAACATGATGGAACCTATTAAAGCATCCTCCTTCGAGAGAGCTTCTTGTGAGATTCCCAACCCGGCAGCTGCATCTGGAAGGGTGCGGTCAATGCCCGGCTCACATCACCGGCAGCCTACAGGGCAGCCTCGGGTACCACCATTCTCATAGAGGAGGAAAGTACAGGTCAGAGAAGTGGACAGCTTGCCCAAGATCATATGGTTAAGTAGGAGCTTGAGGTTCAAATCAGGATTCTCTACTGCACAAGACCCCCCTGGGGGTCTTTCTGTCCACGGTCCTCCTAAGGATGGAGGTGCCTGTGAGAAGCTAGGGTGCAGGGTCATAAGGAAAAAAAAGGATCTCTTAAAGTTTTACTGGACCAGCCAGTCATGGTGGAGTACGCCTGTAATCCCAGCACTCAGGAGGCTGAGACACGAGGAATCGCTGTAAGTTTGAGGCCAGCTTGGGCTACCAAGTGAGTTCGAGGCCGTCCTGACCTGCATAATGAAACCTTGTCTAAAGACCAAAAGTAAAAGAGAAGAAAAAGTTACTGGGCCGGTATCCAGGTGTGTTCGTCACCCTGCAAGCAACGCTCTTTTCAGGAGGACACAGCAACATCTTACATCCTACATATTAAACTGTTTACATTCAAAACAGCAGATGTTCCTTGCTCACACAAATACAGGAGACCAGAGGTGGTGTGATCTCAGGATCACTAGACCCCTCTTTTTTTGCTCTCTCCTGTATCTAGTGCTTTCCAACTCGGGGGCCAGTGTGGCTGCTTGAGCTCCAGCTGTTCGTCCACATTCCAGTCAGCCAGCAGGGAGGAGCCAAGAAAAGAAAAATCTCTGCTTTCTTCCTATTGGCCAGAACTTGACCATGTGACCCATCGTGCTGCATGAGGGGAAATGTAGTCTTGTTCTCTAGGTTTTCAGTCAATGCGCCACTCACCAGTTTGAGGAGCTATGCTCTCCTGTTTATCAGGCACTTTAGTTACATGGCAGGGCCACAGGGCCAGGGCTTGGCTTGTCCAGTCAGAGACTTTATATCCTGGGCTCTAGAGCTCTGTAGCTCTGTTACTTCCAGCATCAGCCCACAAAAGGACGATTTCATGCTCCTAAAGCCGATGCTAGAATCAACACAACCGCTCTCAAAGCCCACACTGATGACAATGCTGGTCGAGTGACTCCATGTCTGTATCAAAACCACAGATGCCAGGCACAATGGCCCACACCTGTAATCCCAGCTACTCAGGAGGCTGAGGCAGGAGGACTACAAGTTGGAGCCCAGCCCGAGCAGCTTAGTAAACCTTGTCTCAAAATAAAACTAGACATTCTGAGTACCTCGCACGTCCTGGGCCGTGAGGATGTTTTAGGCAATGTGGGTGTCAACAGTAGGTGACAAACTCTGTCTTCATGGCGCTGACACTTTGATGGAGGAGGCCAAGTAACCAAATCAATAATATAAAGTGCATCCCATGGTGACCGGTGCTCCAGAGGAAAAGAAAGAGGAGGGGCCGTGTCAAGGTGGCAGGGACCTGGGCACCGTGGTTCAAAGGCACAAGAGGAGCAGAGCGGGTGGCGCAGAAGACGCCGCAGGATGCAGGCTGAGGCCGCGAGCAGTCCAGGGCCACTGCTTGGTTTCGGGGTGGCGCAGGCTTTGTCTGACTGATGCCGTGGGGTGTGGGGAGGCCCGAGGGGACAGCCAGCCTCAGCTGGGGGACCAGGGCTCTGTTCACATCGGGCAGCGGAGAAGCGGATCAAGGGGCTCCAAGAGGCTGTGAGGACGCAGCCAGCACTGAGTGACGGCGGTGACCTGGGGTCGGAGGGGCCCTGGAGGGGCTGGGAGTGTCAGCGCCTCGCACGGAGCTGGGAAGAGAGATTCGAAAACCCCAAACAGGTGGAGGGCTGGAGGGAGGATGCGGGCGGCCCTGTGCACCCTGGGCCTCCGGGTGGAGCAGCTCCGCCTCCTCCCCGGCCAGCCTGCGCCCCAGCCCAGCAGATCGCACTCTGCAGCAGCAACCTTCAGAGTCCTGGCCTCTGGGGCAGTGTCCAGAGCTGTCCCTAGGACCCCCGGGGCTGGAGGCTGATGACCTACCCCAGGGCCTCAGGGCGGCCTCGGGAGCACAGCAGGGCCACCCACGCTGTGCAGTGCCTGGAAAGGGACCCGAAGGGCATCTGGGTCTTTGGTCAAAAGTGACTTTGGGTTTTCAGAGAGCCTCTGTAGAGGGAATGCTGGTCACCTAGTCAGACACCAGGCCGCAGCCTCCTCGCCAAAACAAACCCTGGTGTCTTCCCATTTTAGACAGCTGTGCGTGCAGAGACAGTGGGCCCAACCTCCAACCAAAACCAGGCTCGGTCAAACAGGGCAGGCAGGTACTGCACACCATGGATTGGCCCAGGTCATGTGACCCAAATGCAGGCCAATAAGGTGATCAGGAAAGTCGAGCAGATCAGGATGTTGGAGATGTTCCTCTTTTCTCCTTCTCTTGGAGTTACCATGTGAGAACCTGTCCATGGCAGTTATCTTGTGATCATGAGGTCAAGAGACTTACAGAAGGACATCAAGCCTCCGAACGGCTGTAGGGACAGACCCTGGCATTACCTATTTCTGAATTTGGTGAGAAGCACAGAATAAATGCAATTGCTATTCTGGCTCCACTTAGAGGTCATGTTTGATAATGATAGTAGCCTGAGCTCTGCCCAATCTCTGCTGAGCCTTTGACGACCAAGGTGATTTGGGGTGATTCCCTGTGCCCCAGCTCCTCCACCTGCAAAATGGGGATAATGGGTAAAAACGCTTCTTTGACAGGGTTTTGTTTGTTTGTTTGCTTGTTTGTTTTGAGACAGGGTCTCAAACCCGTGGCAATCCTCCTGTTTCAGCCTCCCAAGTGCTGGGATTGCAGGTTGTGCACCATACACCCAGCATTGATGGGGTTCTTAGGAATGTGGTGAGTGAACCCTAGGAGACAGAAATGTAACTATCCTAAGTTAACCTCATCATAATTTCTTGGAGGAAAAATGAACTCAGACTATGAGAGGCAGGGTAGGTGGCCCAGGATATGGGCTTTGAAGGGTAAGTAGGAGTTCACCGTATGGGAAGAGAGGAACCAGGCATCAAACTTTCCCGTTTCCCTGGCCTTGCTGTCTTTTGGCTCCTTCTCCCCTCCTCCTGCCCCAGGGCCTTCGCTCCTCCTCTCCCTCCCCCCCTTAC